TTTAGTCTTCTTCTGTTTGAAAAGATATTTCTTAAATGTGCATAATGCGTGCGCAGTTAGTGAGAGGTGTTGATGATGGGTAAATCTGCAGTGGCAGTGACACACTACCGCCAGCTGTGGCCTCTGTTGACACCCTCCTCTCTCCAACACCATCCCACATCCAGACCCACACCCAGTCCTCCTGGGGAAAGGATGAGGAAGTATGCAGAGCAAGGCTAGAGGTAGGGCTAAGGTAGAAGGAATAGCGGTGGTAAAATGATAGGGTTAGGCTAAATACTACTACTACGACTAATAATAATACGTATATTAATAATTACAACCACATGCACTCATCATACAGTCAGTCTATCTTCCATTTTTGAATAGTTCCAAAGGGGGATTTTTCTAGGACTCGGCGTGTTTGTCCATGACAGTAATTGCCCCTTGTCATTTTTTTTTCTTTTTAAACATAAATAATCTGGGTGACCTCAAATAAGATTTTAATCTTGAAGGTAGTTTTCTTGAGAACATATGTTGCCTGGGAGCTTTATTTAATTATACTGTATACTCATTATGTATGTTTATTTATCTGTGTTGATATCTAGAAGCACATCTGTGGTATTCAATAATAGCCTGTCTTTATCAGATGCGTTAGTGACAGTATTTCTGATGTACTGTAACTTCTGTCTGTTGGTTCGTTACTGTGGTACCCGTTCGAAGTATTGTGATAATACAAACCCTCTGTTTAAAGATAATTATGATATATTCCAATGATCAGAGAACTGGACTGCTGGATGAGGGATAGAACATCGCTCTTGAACATTAAATTTATATGAAGTCATTATTAATTACGGCGTGAAGCGTTCAGCGGGGCGGCAATAAATGTGAGTTATGTAGAAGTGTTTATGAGGAAACTGAACATTTATTTGACATATTTTTTTAACTCTCCCATCAAAAAGAAATATAAGAGATATTAGTTATTGCCTTCATCACGTAAAGCTGCGATGATTTAGCCCTGTAATAAGACAAACTCCATTAAAGGCTCTTCTGTAAGACTTTTCCCTCCACCGAGCACCACTCGAAAGGTTTAAACAGCCCTCCGTTTATACAGCGAGGTTGGTCAAAAAGTTATAAGTGGTTAGGTGGGCTTGGTGACCATGATGGTGGGCCTGGTGTGGCTTGATGGCCGTGGTGGTGGGCCTGGTGTGGGTGGGCTTGGTAATTGAGGTGGTGTGCTTGGTGACCATGGTGGTGGGCTAGACTGGTGACAGGAGGGCGACCACTCACCCCCCACTGTCACCAGAGTGTCATGTCGGCCACACATGCCCGACCTCCGCTAACGCGCCCCCACCACACCTACTGCCGCATAAATATTCATTAGTTGTGGTAAAGTATGCATATCTTATCTCTCACTTGTAATACTTATATCGTGATAAAACCTAACCTAACCTACTGTGTCTTGTTGAATTAGAATATGATAACATTCACAAACCTACAATATTTTTAATATGTTTCTTTAAGGATATTAAAATATATTGGAATAAAATTTCGATTGATTATTGGAAAAAATAGTCAAAGTTATTGCATTTTGTTTTATAATTGTTTTAATTTTGAGAAAGTCATTGGTTGTATTTACTTCTTTGAAGGACGTGTGATCCTTGTGTCATGTCATTCACAACGGTGCTTCATGGCCATAACCCCGTCGTCTAAACTGTAAGAGTAAGATATTGATATGACAATGTCTCTTTTCGTCTCAGTATTCATTCTTTATTAAAGGGGAGTCGTACTAAACATTCTTAAGTGAAAAGAATTAGTGTTAAGTGATTGACATTGCTGTGTATAATTCTGGATTTTTTTTGAAGAACGATGAATCTCATGAACGACAGCGAGTTTGTTTATTTAAGTGACGTCACACCATATGTGGCTCAAGGCAAGGATCATATAAAGAATCCCCCCACCCCATGTGACCACCTGAAGGATCTTCCCCCACCTTGTTCCAACTGATAATTGCTTTCCCTCACTAGTTTTACAGTCCACGCAACTTAAGCCACACAGACTGGCGGCCTCGAAATTCCTGACCAGCAACTTCGCTAGGTGCATCCCTCCCCCACCCCACCTCCAGAAACAAACAAACCAGGCATTTAATCGGCGGTCAGCCAACCTAAGTCACATCCTTCAAATTTTCCTCGATCGTTTTCGATGCCACAGTGTCTGGACGATGATAATGTTGATGATAATAACATGGATAATGCTGTTTTATTTTTCCACTTCTGTATTTATTTATGGTTCAATTTATCCCCCCCCCCATGACCCGATGTGGGTCAGTGACCTGTGCTACAAACTGCCATGCAGTAGTTAATAGTTTGGTTAATTACAGAGGTAAACCTTTAATGAACTAATTCTAAGGTACTTGACTTTCTTTGGTTTGTCTGTCGTCTATCTAAAATATTAAACCACCCAATATACCAGACATGTGTGGAGACTGTTGGTAGCTTTGGTTTCGTCGTGGTCTGGGTTGTTCGTCCTGAGACAACACACACACGTCTTTCGTTTACTTTTACTTTTATCCTTTTCACCACTGATCGGCTTGTTAGCCGCTTGGGCGGTCGGTCACGTCTCTGTTACGCACTGTTGGCAAGTACTGGGCATGTACTGGCTCCTGAAAGTATCGGTACCTGCTCCAGTGTTGGTCAAGTCTGGTCTTGCATGAGCTCACACTCTTGTGCCGTCACAATGCTCTCTGGTAGATTGTCCCAAGAGTTCACACTCTCACTCCTAAAAAGTTTGCATCCGTATCTCTCCTGGAAAGTTCTTGCTACACTGAGATAATATGACTCTCACCATGCTGTCATGGTTTCATTATCCTGCTTTACAGACTATTAGCTAATCGGCTTCGTGTTTTGGAGGTGTCATGCCCTCTCTATCAGCTGTTGATTCGTCTGACAGGTCCCAACCCTAATTGGTAACGACCAAACCTGACCATTGGGATTGGAGCTTTGTAATAACAGTAAGTACTAATTCCAATGGATCCCAATTTTAATGGGCTCCAACCGTAATGGTCAGGACAGTAATGCCTGGGGGGCGAATAAGATTAAGGTCTTTATTGGGCAGAGAACCATTTGATCTTGAAATTTTCAGCGTTGACCCTTCCATTGCTTAGCATATAGTCTATAGTGATATAGTCTGTGTACATTAGGGATAACCTTTAAACATGTGCACATTTTTGTAGTTAGTGAATGGTGTTAATCTATATGATTGTGTCTCCCGAACAAAGATGTGTATGATTATTGTACACACTAAAATATATTGCAATGTAATTGTGTCATGTAACCCCATCTTAATAAATTCACATAAACTTGATGTATCAAGCTCATTATGTAATGTAGTAATAAATCTACTATAAGCTTGAAAATACACTAAAATATAAGCTACCAAAGCCGGCTGTGGGAATTAGCCATATCCCCTTGCTGAGTGTAGGACAAAATCTCCTTAGACAAAAAGTCCCGAGGACAAAATCCCTCTCGGATGAAAACCAAACCTAACTTTGAGAAACAAATAAAACGGGAGAATTTTGTCCTACTATGCACTTTAATTAAGGGGGTTTTGTCCAGGGGGCTTTTGACCCTACTTACCCCCCTTGGAAAAGGTTCAGCGGACGCCCATGAGCACCGCAGTGTGGGTAGCTTACCAGAATTACTTGTATATTATCAGGTATAAGCAGGTGGTGATATACTGAGGAGTGACTCTCCCTGTGGCAGTTTTATGGGACTGGAGCAATCGTGGCAATAATTCTGAAAGGTGTTTTGTGAGGTAAACCTTGCTAACAAAATCGCTGGATTAATATGAACAGCGATGTGAGGTGAAATAGGATTGTAGAAAACCTCGAATGGGATTATTCAGTCAAATGTACATAACTGATGGCCACCCCACTGTATAGAGGTCACAGCCCCAAGTCAAAGGAACTATCATATCAGTACAGAAATCTCCGAGTTAACTTCTTTAATTTACTTTTAGTTTATCATTTCACCACTTCTCAGTTTCCTAGCCGTTCTTTAGTTTAAGAGTAGTGAACTTATGGAATTACCTACCAGAGAATGTAGTGATTTCACCAAATGTGAGCTCCTTTATATCCTGACTTGATAAGGAATATATTCAGGTAGATTCAAGAGCTCATACATGCCCAGTACTTGCCAACTGTGTAGGACTTAGATCAGTTACCCTACATGAGCTTCTTATTGAAGATGTTACACTTAAGTCGAAACATACAACAATTTTACTACGTTTTATTAAATTACATGCATACATACATACATATATATACGTTAGTCGTCGTCAGACCTACTTACATGTCTTCACGGTTACAGGCATTCCCAGATGATGACAAAGAACAATATATCAGCTGTCACACTTCATTATATTCGAGTCTCTCCTCAAAAGGTTCTCTTACCTCTCTACGGCTACACAATATGTCACGTTTAGGAGTCAATTGACAAGATTATTTTTATCTGTGGAGTGTCACTTACTCTCCCAGGATTCTCTCTCTCCCACCCTCTGGCAGTATAACTGAATAAGTAGTACCTACCTTAATAAGTAGTACCTACCTTAATAAGTAGTACCTACATTAATAAGTAGTACCTACCTTAATAAGTAGTACCTACATTAATAAGTAGTACCTACCTTAATAAGTAGTACCTACCTTAATAAGTAGTACCTACCTTAATAAGTAGTACCTACCTTAATAAGTAGTACCTACCTTAATAAGTAGTACCTACATTAATAAGTAGTACCTACCTTAATAAGTAGTACCTACATTAATAAGTAGTACCTACCTTAATAAGTAGTACCTACCTTAATAAGTAGTACCTACATTAATAAGTAGTACCTACCTTAATAAGTAGTACCTACCTTAATAAGTAGTACCTACCGTAATAAGTCATATATACAGTACTTTCTGGAGGAGTACTTACTTTGGGAGGTGAAGGACATTACTACCTCGCTTACACTGAAGAGTTGAAACCTACCTTGAGGAGTGTGGGAGGACGAGGAGGGCCGTGAGGGAGGGTAAGCAGGGATGTGAGGCAGTCGGAGCACAGAGCAACACATCCTACCCCCAGCGGTGTCACGGCTACACTGTCACCCACCACCACCACCACTACAAGTACTAATGCCATCACCTGCATTATTGCTACTACTGCCACTACCTGCAGTATCATTACTACTGCCACCACTGCCGCCATCACCACTAGTACTTATGCCACCACTTGCATCATTACTACTATTGCCACCACCATCACCACTGGTACTAATGCCACTACCTTCATCGTTACATCGTTACTAATTCTACTGCCACTCCCGTACCACTGTTATTACACACACACACACACACACACACACACACACACACACACACACACACACACAAAATGGTTGCAGGTCAAAGGGGTCTTCAGTCATACTATAGGAACTAACCTAACCTACCCATTAAGACAGAGATCCATTAGAACTATGCTCCAGTCTCGGTGGTTTGATTGTCTCAACTATGAAGGTATTACAGCTATTAGTAATTCAATCAGACTCATTCAACTGACTGCTCACTTTATTTTGTGACATTCGGGTTTCCTTCTCCATACCTCTCAATTTCCCACATTTCCTTTACTCCTTTCTGAAAGAGAAAGTTTTCTGTTCTGTGACAATCCCGCGTTGCTAACCTCTCACCCGCCTGCCCTAATACTGTACCTACGTCACTTCATAATTACTGCAGCGTCTCGCTATGTTCATAACTGACATAATGTAAAAACAATCATGGTTCTTCAATTGACAAAACCCCTATACCTTACTGCTATTTAACTTTGGTGAGGGCAGCAAGTCTGTGCAGTTGGGTGTTGGGGGCCGCCCACTTAATTGTTTATTTATGTATTTTTTAATTTGACTTCTTTACGGGATATTTTGAGGTTATATGAACTGGGGATTAGGACATATTCTAAGGTCATTATTAAGTATTTCATCCCATTGGCAAATGATTCAAATGCTCAATCAGTCACAGTCCTCCTCTCCCCCCTCGTAACGAGGCCCTAGTTTGACAGGAAGTCACACACGCACAGAATAACGTCCAAGACTGAAGAGGGGCTAGTACAATGGGATAGATTTCCTTACAAAGCCAGTACATATTGGTATAGCTAAAAAGAATATACAAGAAAAGAAGAGGCGTTTAAAAACTCTTAATTATGTCTGGAGACCTGGACAAACTGTTTGTTGGTCATGAATGGCGCATTTTGGCGAAAGGTGAAGACTTAAAAAAATGGTGTCAAGACTGATAGTAATTTGAACGTTCTTGTTATCTAGGCATTATTAATGTGTTAGTGTTTGAAGTGCAAAGGGAGTGGAGGGAAATAAATCAAGATCTATAAAATTATATATCTAGTTGTATGATAAAAAGTTTCCTCTCCATTTCTTTGTTCAAGTTTTTACCAGTCGATCTATATGTAAGTCTCTTAATAGACGATAATTATCCATCGTGGAGTTGGGAAAACTCTGTTGTAATGCACCAAGTTCAGAACGCAACAGGAAAAAGAGCACAGAGAACATATGCAGCACAACGTTTCTCCAAAATACTGCTGGATGACCAGGAGAGTGAACGGTATTTTTTTACTAATTTGATCCTCGCTTATCTTTTGTTTATGGCGCCCTCTTACCGGCCATTGCAGTGTGCAAGTCGAGCATAGGAGCCTTTCGCAGGAGACCCTGCAACTCCTGCCACCAACGTTATCATAGTTGTTATCATTACCCAAGACTCGCAGTAGTGCATTTTTTTATCCAGAACAATTAAAGCAATACATCCTCATGGATACTCACCCACTAAACACTATGTAAATAGACGTACTAATGCATGTGCAGGGTCTCAATTGTTTTTCTTACTTTTCACAATACAGCATACAATATCGTTTCTCACTTGATTTTTTTCCATTTTTGTATTTATTTATGGTTATTATTATTATTATTATTATTATTATTATTATTATTATTATTATTATTATTATTATTATTATTATTATTATTATTATTATTATTTGTTTTATTATTTTGATTTGTTTTGATTAGTTATTATTATTATTATTATTATTATTATTATTATTATTATTATTATTATTATTATTATTATTATTATTATTATTATTATTATTATATTTTGGCCCCCAGGCCCTGATGTGGGTCAGTGACCTGTGCCCGGGTGGGCTAATCCCTGTATAAAAACAACAAAAAAACAAGAGATATCGAATCGACATCCTCATTCAACTTTTCATATCTCCCACCCCTTTGCCTTCCTTCTGCACCTCATTATCTTCCTTCACCCTTTCCCCTCTTCCACCGTCTCCCTCCGCCGCCGCTCCCCTTCCTCTGCGGCTTCCTTTCTTCCCACATTCCCATTTGGACCATTTCTTCCCCTACCCTCTCCTATCCCTTCAAGATTAAGGAAACAAATACATTATGGAATAAATTGTTTTACAAATCTTACATTTTATCATAATCTATATCATAGATAATGCTCCATTATTTACTAATTATTGTAATGATTTGTTACCTCGTTTGTTTTGCATTGTGGAGTAAATCGATTTAAAAATTTACTTGGTGTACGTCCTACACTGTTTTAAGGATTCATTAATTTCAAATGATATATATATATACCGCAAAAAACTCGTTTTTGAATATTTATTCACTCTGAATAATCTAACTTTGTTTAATTATATTTTACATCTCAATTTTGTGCTTAGATTGACGAACAGTGTATGTTAACTGACTGCATTGTGCCAACTAAATCGTCTAATAAACTTTTGTTCTCAAATCACATCATAAACTATGCCTCGTTGATTTTTTTATGTTTAAAAACAAGTTCGATGAGACATTCAATTTTATTTTTTTTAAATTTTCTTGTGTACTGTGTGCCAGGATTCCACAGAGTTGAATGAGCCGATCATTGCCCGTTGCGGCTCCCTGGAGATGTCACAAGGACATTAGAAATATAAGAAGAATGAGAGAAAAATGCTACTCATGATCTTAACGTTTCATACTTCACGACGACTACAGTAAATGTATCAACGTTCTTAAGCGCAATCCTGGCTGTAATCTGATAGTGTTTTGTTTTAATACACCTGTCCGACAGTCCCTGGCTGCTTAAGTTTCGTACCTTATATCGTAAACACCGAATGGGAGTAGTTTCTTCCATCTTTTTCTGATATTTAGAAGGTAAGAAATGCCCCCCATGTATAAACTTAAGACTTTGAACTCTGCAAGAAGTTGATTAAGTAAAGGTGATTGGGAAATTAAGGTCGTAGGGGCGCTAAAATAAGGGAAGTGTCTGGGAGAATACGCATGTACGCACACACCGTCGGCCAGTGTTGCCGCTGGTCGGAATTGCAAATGTTGGTGATTGAATTGATTAAAATACTCAACGGTTTTTCATATATGTACTCGTTATATTTACGACGTAATTGGTCTTCTAAAGACTGTAGGCAATACCTTACACTAAACAATGGATGTTTAATAATGTTTGGATTTGCTATATCATTTCCAGTCGAGTCTAAACCTAAAATAACGGATGGTTTATCCAGGGGTACCAACTATTATATAATAACCAAAATGACAATGGTGCTAATCATCTTGTAGCACCTTGTTATGATTTATATTAAATGTTTACTAACTTTTCACCATGATTTATTTTCCTTTGGATGAAGTTTTTACCACAGTAGACGTATGAGCACCTGGAGGAAATGTTTAGGATAATCCTGTAACTATTTTTCGGTATTATTTTAGTTTCGGTTATCCAGGGAAACGGTTAGGTTACAATAGGTTAGGCTAGGTTAGGTTAGTTTGGATAATTAAATACAGGGATGACCGAAACTAAAATCTTACCTATTTTTCTGCAGTATTTATGGGAAGAATTTGTTATAGTTGCAAAAAACACCTCTTCTCTTATTTTGATTGTACAGTACTTTTTTAAATTTCAGAAATATGGGTTCATATTTAAAATGACTTCCACAGACATGACAAAATTTGCTTTCTTTGGAGTTTTTCTAATATTTTGAAATTTATTATTTCGCCACTTAATAGCTTACTAGCCATTTGGACGGTTTGTCTTCTTTATTACTTAGTTATGAACTCTATTGTCCAGGGTTTTAATTCATAAATCAAAATTTTTTAGGGGAACAAAGAAAAAATATGATCTACATTACTTGGGAAAATGGAAATGATAAGTGTGTCATGGGTTCCATGCTTTTGCTACAGGTACTTCAGTTAATTCAGAATATTAGTAATTAAACTATGATATTAGCCAAATTAAATGGTAATAGTGGAGCAGATGGTTAACACCAGGAGTTATTCGATTTCGTTCACTTTACCTCATGTGTTTTGGATGATAGTACAGTAATTAATAAAAAATAAACAACAATGCACAGAACCAAATTAAACCTGACCTAACCAACCTACCTACAATCATCCGTATAGCTGTACAGTACAGTACAGGGTTAATGTTCAGACATTGGCTGTCCTCAGGTTTCAATTTTCTATATTACAGTCACAAATACTATGAAAACCAAACATAAAACTTCAATATCAATTCTATTGCAAATCATTGTAAATGGAGTACAGGGTATTTCACAAATTTCTTGGCGTAAATTTCTGTATCCGCCATGTTGCCCGAGTCATTTCGTTCCTCTCCACTTTTCTCATCCTCTCCTCCTCTTTGCGACATGACAACCAATGATCTTCGTGTCATGTGACTTGGCTGGCCAATCATTTTGAAGCAGCCATTTGGAAGGCTGAAATAGACATTTTTAAGGATCCTGATGGCGTGCGAAAAGTTCTCTCTCCCTTATCTAACTGTTATTCAGCGAGTTTATCAGAACAATAGTGAAGCAATCCAAATATTACAGATCATGGTGTCCTACCATCATCAAGACTGTGTCCTACTTGTGGAAATTGTTTAATGTATTTTTAAGAAAAGACAGAAATTCTTTTGCCTGTCCATAAGCATACCAGATTGCCCAGCTGTATCCTCCACCACAGTAGCAGGTAAGCTCCAAAAAATGCTTAGGTTAGGTTAAGTGAGGTTAGGTTAGGATTTTGGTGTTTTATGGTGTGTTTTACTCAAAACTTACAGCCATTTTGGTGCAAATTAGCATTTTCTGTTACAAAGGAAATATTTATTTTTTATTTTTCATAAACCTCTAATTTGTGTAAGAAATGAAGGTCAGATTTGAGTAAAGCACACTATAATACACCAAAAATCATATTTTTGTATAAAAATCTGAGGGCAGCCAATGGACGAATATTTACCCAGTACAGTATGGACAGGTATTTCTTGTTTAACTATGGGGTTGCGTTCCTGAAAAACCAAACGTTAAGCAAAATTATCAAACAAAGGATAACAGCAAAGCATGGAAGGTGAACAATAGGTACAAACTGCCGGGTGGAAAACACTGAGTACAGTACTGTACTTCCTAATAATAATGATAATAATAAATGAGTTTGTTATTAAAATTTTCGAAGTTAGACAATTGATTTATTAATACCAAACTTCTATAATAACTACTGTATGTGATTTAGAGTTAAATGATTTAGTGAGCAAAAGGTGTGCCTAATTTGAGCAAATTTCAATTTGCATCCGTCTATAAAAATTGCTTTGACAAACAATAAAATTCATAAATGGCATATCGTAAAATACAATAGCACATATTTTATGTACAGTACAAAAATTAGCTCCTTCCACATTCAAGTCATCCTCTGGGCAGTCACCCAGCTGATTCTGAGGTGTGTGCTGTGACATCACATTGGGGGAGGGTGGTGAGTTGGTGAAGAAGTTACAGCCCAGTGTCTCCACACATACATTCACTTCACACACATACACACCCATGCTCTTAATTTTTCTTATTTTATAGTTTTACATTATATTTTCTTTTATTTCTAAGCACCCTGTACCCAGTTTTTCCCTCAAATGAGTCAAGTTATTGCTCAACCAAATTTTGACCTAATGCTGAGTGAGAAAGGGTGTAAAATTTATTTTGTGGCCTGACCAAAATAATCTTAAGTGAAAAAATGCTAAACACAGGATAACTGTATAATAATGATGGGAGGAAACAAATACCACAATTTAATTTTGATTGAGCTCTACATACAGGTTACATATGAGCCACCATTAAAAGTACAGTACTGTACTGTATCCCAGTTGCATGTGTGTGCTTTGTGCCCTTTGGTAAATTGAAATAAACAATCTGAGAATAATATCATATTTTAGGAGAAATGGAGCTGTGAACATTTTGTTGTAGTTACTGTATTGAGTTAACCTGCTTAGATCCTGCTGAGATGGAATTTTTTTCTTCATATTCACTGAAGGGTGAAGTGTTCAGTTAATGGTGTCTGGTACTTGTTGCTGTAGCTAAGATGCAACGTAGCATTACAGTAAACCCTTGCTATTTGCGGGAGTTAGGTTCCAAGGAGTGGTGCAAATTGGCAAAACCGCGAATAGCAACTTATATTACCTTAGTGCACTACTATATGCCTATACTGTGTATGAGAAACTTAAGTCACCAATAACTACTTACCTTCATATGTGGAAGTTTGGAGCTTGATGAAGTGTACATGTAGTGTACAGTTGGATGAAATCTGGTTACTGAAGCATAGAAAGATTATCAGGATCACTGTTGGAAGAGGGTGATGCAGTGGTGGTTGTGGAGAAGCGGGTGGTGGAGAGGCGCATAGTGGGGAAGCGGGTGGTGGAGAGGCACATGGTGGGGAAGCGGGTGGTGGAGAGGCGCATGGCGGGGAAGCGGGTGGCGGGGAGGTGGGTGGTGGAGCGGCAGCAGCTGACTGAGTAGGTGAGGGAGATGAATCAGCTGGGCTAATGGCTGGTTCTTTCTTGAAAAACATCGTGATTGGTAGTTGTTTCCTCTTGGCTTTGAGGTCTTTAAACATTTCCTGGTGGGGAACCAATGCCTGGTTGATTTCTAAGAAGAGATCTTACGGCTCCATTCCATGGAAAGGTTGTGGTTAACAGTGAAATCAATTACCACCTTCACAGGTCGAAATTGTTCACCCAAATTGTTCAAGCCCCAACCTTCTTGTTGGGGCCATTTCACACAGAAACACTAAAGTTTTGAATACAACACAAGAGATGCTGTGATGCAGGCAATGATTGAGCACAAACAAAGGGAGAGGAGATGCTGCGAGTGCATTGGGGTGACTTGTTGCAATGCGGGAGAGGCTCACAAGTTAGCCACCATCAGCTTACCGCGGATAGTCGAAATTGCGAATCTCAAACCTGCGAATAGCATGGGTTTACTGTATAATATTTTTCAGTGAAAATTGAATACTGTATTGCCAATTTTTTCCTCCCACTACAAATAATATGAATCTTCGTGATTTGCAAGAAATACTGAACAGTACAATACTGTGCTTTTTCTCTTATAAGCTCATGGCCCAAATGTTTTCCTAGTGAATTAGCTCCTTCCTTAGACACATTGTTTTAGACTCTTATTCAGAATAATGGTACAGTTGGTTGTTCAAGCTGCCATTTTAAGGACAGATCTCTATACTCTACCCATACTATTCTGAAGGCTAATCTTATTAGATGAATATTTCTTTGGCAGACATTAAGTTATTGAAGATGTGTAAGTGCTTCCTGTGAAGTGTAGGTAGTTTGTGGAATTTACTGAACTGTTTTTGTGATCACATATTTCACTGGGGGAGATTTATTTGTCTATCAATGTCAATACAGTATATGATAATGCAGAACTCTATACTGTACTGTATATGTAGGATATTTTTTCAGCTCCCTGTAAAGATGCCTGTTTTTTTTTTTGTTTTTTTTTCTGTGGAAAATTTAAAGGTCCACACACATCATTTACAGCAAAGTGTTATGTGAAGACATTATTGTTTATTTTCTTAGCTGTAACTCGAAGTTCCTCATTTTCATCTGTGTTTGTGGCCAGACAAGTTCTCTATAATAACTGTATAACTGTATGCTACTAATACAAGTTCCTCAAGTTTTCTAAAAATTGAAAATTCTGCAGTTCTTCACAGAAAGCTATTAAGATGCTTTTTGTATTTAATGTTTGAAATATGGAGTTTACATTTTCATCTGTTACCAGTGTCAAACAAGGTCTCTTCAGTGCAACATGTGCCATTAATATTTAATGAGAGTTCTGCTAGTTCTGCCTACTACCAAGTGCTCTTTCTCTTGCAAGTAAGTCTACTTATATTATACGTACAGTACTCTGTGACAAAGAAAAATTATTTCAAGTTACAGCAGGTCATGTTAACCCAGGCTCATTGAGATTGAACATTACCCAACTCACTCCAAATCAATCTATTTACCTTATTTGAACCTAACCAAATTTTAGTGAAAAATTTTCTCCCTTTTTTTTTCTTAAAAACTTTTTGCACCTATTATTACTCTATATGGGAAATTAGTAGACAACTATTGCCTCATAGGTCTATTGAGACCCTCAAGCACCGAAAAAACAATCACCACCAACAATGATGATCCTCCTCCAGTTTGAAATGGTTATCTGGGTTCTCTTCCAGTAAATGTGACTCTTGATTTAAAACATCCTACCACCTGATTCATAATCTTCCTCTAGGCCTTCTTCCTCCTAGATTTCTTAGGTAATGTACTGTACTACTTTAATATATTTGTTATTGACATGGAAGACTTTAACCACCTATTTTAGCCTTGACGTTCTTACACATCTATACAGTATTGCCATCTACAGTATTGACTTTCTTGTTATAAATTGGGTCTGCATAATCTTTTTAGGATGTTAATTTTATACCACAACTTGTTTAACTTCTAAAGTGTCACTCACACTTCCATGTATCTGCTGCATATGTTAACTCTGGCAAAATCATGACTTCATACAGCATGACATTGGTTTCTTGATAGGAGCCTTGCCCTAAGCAGATTATTGAGTGCTACTGCAGCTCAACTATTGTGGCTGCACTGATTCAAGTATCCACTACAAGGCTGATGTCATTATTGGGAGATGTAATTGATCCAAGGTAATTAAAAGCTATCCCCTATTCAATGTCCATGTTTGTAATGTGTTCTGTGCCTTCACTAAGAATTAATATTGCTATTGGCATGTAAGACCTTGGTTTTGTTTATGTTGACCTGGGATCCTGTTCTTTTTACTTTGTACTGTACTTGGGATTCCTGCACTTATACCTACCATATTTGTTGTAAAAAGATTAACATCATTAGCATAAGTAACCATGTTGATGCACATCTCCCTGATGGTAATGCCTCCCTGGTCTTCTGTTGTCAGTATGACAACTAACCAAGGGCAAAATACAACTGAGTGGGTAATATGAGGTACCTTGTCATATGCCATTTGTGATATAAACAGCCTGCCCTTGATTACCATTAATTTTGAAAACTACTGAACTGGCTTTGTATATGTATTTAATCTTCCTAATTGATTTAAAAGGAATGCCAAACTGTATTAGGATATTCCATAGGCCTTCCTTGATGTATGCTGTCATATGCTTGCTTTTAGTAAACAAAGCTGTGGTGACTTTACTGTAAATTCCCATTTTTCTCTCTAGCTAATTTAGCTGTAAGTAAAGATCTGTTCCAGTCTTGCTCTTCCTGTTGTAAAGTTTTAAATTATTTCATTAATTACCTTAATTTCAACACTAGCACCTTTGTCAAGATCTTGTACATTGTCAGCAAAAGTTATAAATCTTAACAGAAGCAGCAATCTTTACCACCCATCTTGACGGGAGTCACAGTAATTGCCTTGCTTTATTCAATGATTTTTTGCACATTATTATTTACAACCAAGAGTAGTTCAGATGATTTATTTTCTAGTCTTTCCACTCTACAGTTAAACAGCTCAGCTGGCAAAATGTCCCTGCCTGGTACTTTATTTTTCTTGAAAACCTTTTTTAACCATAGTACTGTACTGCACTCCTAGTCTTGTCAACCATAATAATGAGTACTGTATATGTTTGTAGTATGTTACTTTATGGTTTTATTAATACAATGCCATGGATAAACTAAAGTTTTATTGATAAGTTTTTTGTTAGACTTTTGGTACTTATTTGCATATATACAAATTATAACTGTGACCACTTCTCCCAGATGGTTTTGGTAGCCTAGTATGGAAGTAAAATACTGCATTGTACAGTACTGTATAGTATTCAAATATACCGGTATATTTCATATAGGTTCAGTATATGAAGTTAAGTTCTCATTATCCTTTCTTTAAACTTAGGTTCACTAACAAGTGAACCCCAAATTTACAATTTTCTTCATTTACATTTTTTTCAATAAACTTGGGTTACCAAACTCCCAGTGGTCTGTTGGTAAAATTTCATCACCCAAAATACAGCACAGTATGCTGATTACTAACTTATTCATTTTTGACTCTTTTGAGGTGTAGAGGTTTAGGCTATTTGCACAATTAACATCATTCACCAATTAGGATTTATTTTAATGCTGCATGGATCAGTGTGTTTATCTTTTATCTCTGGCATGCTTGAAGCAGCTGACTTCTGAAATACTGCACTAACAATTGCTAAACTAACTTTTTGCACCTTCCATTTCATGTTTTTATAATTGTACTTTATTGGATGCACTCATTGTGCAATGCAAACTTGAAAATGAATGGACATACAGTATATTCTACATTGGTTCAGTTCCTGTAACCTATAATTATGCTATATTTGCAAAAGTATGAACAATCACTGACATTCTAGTATGGTGTTGGTTTCAGGTAACTCATGTATAGTCAACAAGTCTCCAGGGTTTAAAACCCAGGTTCCTAGGACCTGGAACTTGTGACAAGTCTAAGGATAGATTGAAATTCGAAAATCAGATACTGTACTTGACAGTTTACCTTAGGTGCATGGCATTAGAGGTGCTGCTTCATCCTTGGCTTTTATGTGTAAAATGTCCCTTAAGTCTACATAGAACAGGAGGGGGTGGATATTGGGTAAAACCTTCTTTGGCTGATACTTCAACAAAGATACTGATGACATGGATTGTGTGGCAATTATAATGCAACATTTATTGTCATGTGGTAGTGTGACTCAGAGGAAGGTGTCATTCTGTATGAATAATAGCTGGTTGAGGTGTGACTGAGCCAAATTAAGAAAATCAAGAATAATTTTTGCTTACCGGTATGTGGTGGTGAAACCTCCCAACCTTCTCCCTCCAGGGAAACTGCTTTGCCAGTTGTCTCCTTTTGTGAAAATAGGTACGGTGGTAAGATTCGTTTAATTTTCTTTCTTTTTTCAGACCCAATCAAAATTTTTAGGACTTGGGAAAATTTATTTATAACTTTGTAGACTTGCTGACTATACATAAGTTGACAAATCCTTGCTAGGTTAGACAATATGAGTTTTAGGTCTTTCTCAATTTTTATTGTTTAATAGATCTGGATCTGGTTGAGATTGATATTTTTTTTTGTCTTGAAAGCCGCTTGGTGAAGTAAAATGGTCTAATTCTGTCATTTATGTACTGTACAGTACTTATTTTTAACAACTTAGTCAGGACTGATTACTGTATCTTTTATGATATGGATGATTACATGACAGATCTTGCAAGAAATATGTAACATTCTATCGCCCCTTCTTCACTTTCTCTTTAACTTAGTGTGTGGTATTTTCTGTACCCAAAACCACAAGATCTGAAATTTTAGCTCAATCAGAATCATAGTTTAAAAGTTACAAGGCCCCAATATTCAGACCCTAATTAAACTAGGAGAATAATTCAAAGTATGTACTGTACTGTATGTCTGAAATGTGTTTTGACAGAAAATATGAAATTATCTATAAAAATAGCAAAATTTTAAAAGTAAAAAGTTATGAAAATTTTTATTTTCAAAGGTTCTGATTCTCATCCTTGGAAAATTTTATTGTGTATCAGAATGAACTTTAACTTAATCTAAATCAGTAAAATTGAGAAAGAGTTGAGTATTTGGTCATAAGATAGATATTCTTTTCCTACAGTTAAATTTTGCAAATACAATACTGTACGTACCCCGGTAGAAAAAGCAAATTTCAAAATTTCTTTAGTATCTTCATTAGCAGATGTTTAATACTGTACAATATAAAAACATCTTTTAGCTGCTTTTACTAATGTTTTATATACCAATATGTAGATACTGTAGGATACAGCTTTAGTATATACAGGGTATATATATACAGCCTCTCCTCGACTTACGACGGGGTTCTGTCCAGACGACCAGGTCGTATGTCGAATTGGTCATAAGTCGAAAAGGCGAAAATAATACATAAAAATTCTAAAATGGGTGTCCCTTTTTCTTCTCAGCACCACGAGAACTCTCACTTTTACGCTTGCCAGCCATTTTAAAGGGAATTAAATTTTTTTTTTGTCAGTACACAGCGGGATCACTAACTTGGGACTCGAAAATATGTAATGTGAAAAATATTTTTTTACGACCATGGCCGTCGTATGTCCAGGTTGTCGTAAGTCGAGGAGAGACCGTGTGTGTGTGTGTGTGTGTGTGTATATATATATATATATATATATATATATATATATATATATATATATATATATATATATATATATATATATATATATATATATATATATATATATATATATATATATATATATATATATATATATATACCAAAATGTGGTCAAATTATGTATTTTTGAGTCCCAAAGTCAGTACACGGACAAAATTTTCATCTGTAATTCACTTTAAAATGGCTGGCAAGCTTAAAAGTGAGTGTTTTGTGGTGCTGAAAAGAAAAAGAGACCCAAATTTTCGATTTTCTATGTGCTATTTAAGCATTTCCGACACGACCATTTTGACTTACGACCTGGATGTCGGTCCCTAACCCTGTCGTAAGTTGGGGAGTACCTGTGTGTGCATATATATATATATCACCATATTACAATGTGATACTTTAAACTGTACAAACTTATTGAAATTACAAGCCATTAACAGTACGTATACAATACGTACAGTACAGGGGGTCCCCGGGTTATGAACAGGTTCCATTCCCAAGGACGTTCTTATGTCAGATTTGCACGTAAGTCAGAAGACATGCTATGTGCATACCGTACTTACAGAACAATGTCTAAATTCCTACTATATCACCGCCTAAGTCCTTATACAGTATACATCTAAAATCACTTAATTTAAGACAAAGAAGAAATAGAATGTCAAAATACAGTAAATTAAAGTAAAAATAAGTCATCAGGTAAATAAAATACTGTACTGTATATTTCAAGTTTAACTCCGCTCATATCGGTGGGCATTCATAAGTCGGGGACCCCCTGTATTACCAATAGATTATTTGATTGAATGGTAGATACACAGTTTTTTCCATTTGGTTAAATAAGGATTAGCTGAAATAGATTAATTCAAGCTATTAGTGCTGTAGTCTGTGTATTATACTGTTACTGGCTTGTTTCATACTTGTGTAATGTTACTGGTTTGTAGACGAATTTCATAACTAATTTCTCACCTTTCCAGCTACTGACAACTACAGTACTAAGAAGAAAATGGCATCAGAATATAGAGACTGTACCCAACGTTGTTGTGATCCTTTCAAAACTCACAGGAAAATTGTTCTTAGCAGTTTGAGGCCCCTTCCAAGACTGTTTGTAGAAACTAGTGATCCCATATATAATTTCACACAATCATCAAAAATCTGCACAAACTGTTTGAAAAAAATCAATAAGTGTGATGAACCTCATAAATTATTTAGAAAAGTGGAAAGTTCTGGAAGTGACTCTTCTTATACATCTAACTCTTCACCAATGTGGAGACATTCACTCAAGTGGCCTGATAAAAATAAAGAAATCCAAAGGTGAGAATTTATTTATATACAGGGCCTACTGTATGTCTTCCACAAGCCAGTAACAGTACTCATGTCTTCCACAAGTCATTAACAGTACACATGTATAACACACAAGACATTAACAGTACACATGTATGACACAAGACATTAACAGTACACATGTATGACACAAGACATTAACAGTACACATGTATGACACAAGCCATTAACAGTACACATGTATAACACACAAGCCATTAACAGTACACATGTATGACACAAGCCATTAACAGTACACATGTATGACACAAGCCATTAACAGTACACATGTATAACACACAAGCCATTAACAGTACACATGTATGACACAAGCCATTAACAGTACACATGTATGACACACAAGCCATTAACAGTACACATGTATGACACACAAGCCATTAACAATACACATGTATGACACACAAGCCATTAACAGTACACATGTATGACACACAAGCCGTGAACAGTACTGTACACAGACGAATAGTAACTTGATTTAAGCTGCTTCAGCTAACAAGTTGAATCTTGTTTAACCAAAAGGAAACATTATTTGTAGCTACCTGTGCTACTGAATCAAGCAGTCTACTGGTAATACATGTGCAGTACTGTTAATGGCTTGTAATTTCAGAAATATACTGTATATAAAATATCACCCAAACTATTCCCATTAACATTTTAATAAATTAATAATGTATATTACATGATATAGAGACAATATTGCAGATGCTAAACCTACATCCTATCTATATATTGGTACATAACATATTAATATAATCATCTTAATGATATTTTTAGATTGTAAGAGATTATTAACTTATGAAAATATTAAAGAACTTCCGAAATAAATTTTGTCTTTGTAATGCAGTACCGTAGCTACCGTACAGGTATTAACAAAATTCAACTGAAAAAAAAAAAATAAAATAAAATGAGTAAATACAAAATTTTTATGCAATTTAATGATTTAAATAAAGCTGAAGTTCTTTCTAATGTGAAGATTTTTTTTTCTAAAGCAAGGAGCGGAACCCTTCTGAAAAATTTAATTAGTCTGCTAGCTTTACTAGAGTCTGAGATACTGTATTACACCTTGAGATATAGTAGCATACATCATCCCTCAATAATTAGAGGGTTTTTAACTTTTGAACTATGGCTCTGATTGAGCTAAACTTTCAGATCTTGTGCTTTTTGGTATAAACAATGTCACACACCAAGTTGCAAAGAATTCGAAGAGGGTGTGGTGGCAAGTACTGCATGAACTGTCCTGGCATGTATCATGGTGGTAGAAGTAAGTGGTGGTGAAGCTGGATATAATCAGAGGTCTATTTTAAAAAATTCTTATCATCAAAATTTTTTAACTATGGGTGAAGTAGTGGTCAAGAAAATTGCAGGATAATGACCTTGCAGTTCCTTTCTTTTGGCAATGATATTTCATTGATGGTCTAGTGTAGGACATGCCAAAGCCAAAAAGCATTTGCACAAAAGAGAGATCTCTTATCACACACTTGACTTGGTATCCACAGAAGGTTAGGTTAATTGAGTACTTTACAACCCAAAAACATACCACACCTGTGAGTATTTCCAAAATGAATTATAGTACAGTATGTTAAATTTTGAATACTGTATTGGATTAGAAGCTAACACACAGAAAAGTTAAAATGAATATCATATTTAGGTTGAAACTCAGTTGTATTGGTTTAATAGGTGCCGACAAATATGCAAGCTAATGGTTTGTACTGTGTTGAGAATACTGATTCCACTGTATACAGTATGTCAATGTAGCCCTCATTGTTGTCATACATTTTTGCTTCATATTCATGTACAGTACTGTAGTTGGCAACTGATTCATTTAAGTGATAGTCATATGAGTATTCAAATTCTTTATTAAAAGTTTTGAGGCAGTTGTCCCTTTGAAGGTATGACAAAGGCAATTACAGTGGTCCCTCGGTTAACGAGCGCCTCGGTTAACGAGATTTCGGTTAACGATTTACCTTCCATAAGATTCTTAACTTGGGTTAACGAGCAATCCCTCGATTAACGAGTTTTTTACGAGCCGACTTCAACATGTTTTCGCTTGCATTTGGCGGTCCACCAGCTGTAGTATTAGTCCGTCAATACAGTAATCGGTTTTAGGGCTTAAATTCCTTACTATTTTAGTAAATATCAAGAAGTTTATACTATTCAATAATTTTAAAAGTTTAATATTAACTTTTTTAGTCATTTTAACAATTATTGAACATAATTGAAGGTAAAGAAACTAGTTTCTGGCGTGCCATCCAGCCTGTTAACACACCAGATAGGCGTTAGTCTCTCTCTGTTTTCAGTGGAGGTAACATCTTGCTTGAGACTCTCTTCAACTAAACGCTTTTTTTCTGTGTTTCCAAGCAAATTATTGGTCATTTTGAAATATATTTTACATATTGACAATATATAATGCAGTGCAGTGTTGACTTAAAGAAAATAATCTTGAAATACACCAAAAGAACTAAAATTTTATGGGTGAAATGGTGCCATAGGGTGACTTCTCTTCCACCCCATTGCCTTCTCTTCTTCCTTCTCCCTCACCCCCATTCTAATTCCCATCATCATCATCATCATCATCATCATCATCATCATCATCATCATCATCCAGGAGCCTTCTACATACACACCTCAAAGTAAGTGTACTATTCTACCTTTTTTTGTTGAATTTAGGCAATTTTCGGTGAGCTGGAACCAATCACCCAAAAACCCATTGAAACAATGGTTTCGGTTAACGAGTTTTTTGGTTAACGAGCAACCTGCTGGATCGAATTGTGCTCGTTAACCGAGGGACCACTGTAGAATGAATTGTTCTGGGAAAAGACTATTCTCCATCATACTGCACTGTGTAACTATGAGCTTTAAAGGCACTTTGTTAAGGTACAAGAAATATACACATTAAATGAAATATAGTAGAATATGCTATACTGTATATATACTGGTTTGTTAACATTGTGTTGATTTCTTGTGCAACATCAGTCATATGTGTTTTGGAATTAATGATCATGTGCCAAAGTGATTCACTTAGGTAGGATTTTAATAAAATTGTTTAGCAAATGCTTTAAGTATTAGGTAATTTGTAAACCAAAATACAGGTACCCTCGCTATACAAATGTTTTCTCTATGAACATTCGCTTATACAAATATTCTATTCTTACACTCTTTCTAACTACTGTGTATGAAAGCTATTCTTGCTTATACGAATGATAGTCCCTTAAGATAATCTACCAAATTTAAATGTTATATTTTTTTTAATGTGTTAAGTACTAAATTACAGCATTGTATAGTACAGTACAGGGGGTCCCAGGCTAAAGAATGGGGTTAAACTTGAAATTTACAGCACAGTATTTTATTTACCTGATGACTTATTTTTTACTTTCTTTTACTTTTTTTGTCATTTTATTTCTTCTTTTATCTTAAATTAAGTGATTTTAGATAAATATATATTAGGACTTAGGCTATGATATAGTGGGGTTTTAAACATTGTTCTGTAAATACGGTATGCACATAGCATGTGTTCCGTCTTACATACACTTCCGACTTAGAACGTTCTCGGGAACGGGACCTGTTCGTAACTGGACCACCTAGTTCTGTATTTTACAGCATATAAGATCCACTGCCACATAAGACGCTCAGCCATGTAAGATGCTCACCCACCATTTTGGCATGGAGTTTTTAGGAAAAGAACTTTTGTGTGTATATTCATCCTGTAGTCATAGTTTTCTTAAAATAATATATACAGTACCATTAAATGTGAGGAATAAATAAAAATAATACCAATATATAAGTTACAGCAAAAAATACTGTATTGCCAAACAAGGTAAATAAAAGCCAAATGAAAGTTTATCACAATCGCCATTTGCATATACAGTACTGTACTCCCTGCTTTACCATAGCAACGGAGACCAGCAGGGATTCTACCTCTGCCGATTCCCAAGCAACACTCCCCCCTCCCCCCCACATGCCGCGCCCTCCTCCCACTCCCCCACTGAGCCAGCTAACTCGTGTGCAAAGAAATGTATATTCCCTTTATGTGTTTGCCCTTAGGACAATTATGGCTTTTACTTTTTTCACAATATGTATGTAGGGTGATGTGTGCATGTAACTGAGTAGAAATAAATGAAGAAAGTTACATAGACTGGAAAATACGAATTGAAAAACAACCGTAACACCTCACAACTTGGCCTAGTAGCCTGGTGATTACAGTGACGAGTCTAAACTGGCTACAATGCCGCCAGCGATGTTAACAGATGCAAATGTAAAAAGAAAGTTATCTGTAAATTTTCATTTGTATCAGGTACAGTATTTGTAGATTTAAAAATAAATGTTGCAAGTATGGTATTAATCGATTGTAATACTTGTAAGAGCTCAGAAATGGTTACTGCTTAGCTGCTTCTGAAGAGTTGGGTGTAACAATAATAATCCGCTCCAGCAGGTTGCTCGTTAACCAAAAAACTCGTTAACCGAAACCATTGTTTCAAAGGGTTTTTGGGTAATTGGTTCCAGCTCACCGAAAATTGCCTAAATTCAATAAAAAAGGTAGAAAAGTACACTTACTTTGAAGTGTGTATGTAGAAGGCTCCTGGATGATGATGATGATGATGGTGGGAATTAGAATGGGGGTGGAGGAGAAGGGAGAAGAGAAGGCATTGGGGTGGAAGGGAAGTCACCCCATGGAGCAATTTCACCCATAAAATTTTAGTTCTCTTGGTGTAATTCAAGATTATTTTCTTTAAATCAACACTGCACTGCATTATATATTGTCAATATGTAAAATAAATTTCAAAATTACCAATAATTTGCTTGGAAACACAGAAAAAAAGCATTTAGTTGAAGAGAGTCTCAAGCAAGATGTTACCTCCACTGAAAAGAGAGAGAGACTTAACGCCTGTTTGGTGTGTTAACAGGCTGGATGGCACGCCAGAAACTAGTTTCTTTACCTTCAATTATGTTCAATCATTGTTAAAATGACTAAAAAAGTTCATTTTAAACTTTTAAAATTATTGAATAGTATAAACTTCTTGATATTTACTAAAATAGTAAGGAATTTAAGCTCTAAAACCGATTACTGTATTGGCGGACTAATACTACAGCTGGTGGACCGCCAAATGCAAGCGAAAACATGTTGAGGTCGGCTCGTAAAAACCCGTTAATCGAGAGATTGCTCGTTAACCGAAGTTAAGAATTTAATGGAAGGTAAATCGTTAACCGAATTCTCGTTAACCGAGGCGCTTGTTAACTGAGGGATCACTGTAATTAACTGTTTATTGAAAGAGCATGGCAGCCGGAAGGCTGAAAATATACAGTTGCCCAATTGGGGAATAAGTCTCTTGGTTGTCAAATAATATACTGTACAAGTATAATAACTAGGTGGTGAGAACTTCATACTACAGGGCATTTCAACATAGTGACAGTACAAAAAGGTAATATTGACTGGGAGTGAATACGCTGGTTGATTACAAATTATTGATAATTTTTACAATGGTTGGGACTGGGCTGTTCTTATAGCGATCAGTACATGCTCATATGGGCTGCATGTGGTTGTGGTGTTGAACAGCAATTCGCGGACAAGGGATCTCGGGTGGTAGTTGGAGCCGGTGTCTAGGATGGCGCTTCTTGATATGTGGAGTAGGAAGGGGAGAGAATAATCTTGCATGTCTGCCTTACGGAAGTTAATCGTCTCAGGTTATCATCATCAGTACAGTACAGTACTGTAGTTATAAATCAAGTTTTCATGTTTACAAAAATTATTTTCTTAATGAATTAAAAATAATAATAATGTGTTTTAGTAAGTAATAATATATTTATAATTCTGGAGTTGGGTTAGGTAGGATTTAGCCTACTGGAGACAGCAACTGGGGAATTCATTAGCTTATGGGAGACCGCAACTTTAAATATAGGATGCAGGCTGATTTTTAGCCATTTTTCAGACAAAAAGTGCGCCTTATATGCCATAAAATACGGTAATAGGATACAGAAATACAGTACCGGTAAGGTACTGTATTAAATTACAGTGGTTAGGTATTAATTTATAGTACTGTAGTTAGGAAAGTATATTTGTTTGTTTGTGAACCAATTTAATTTTTTTTTTAAATATAATACAAGTACCTGTACTGTATTGGGGTTTTCTTGTCATTGGGTAACTGAACCCTAGTTTTCCCGATGTTATGTTATTCAGTATTTTTTTTTACGGCGATTAGCCCACCTGGGCACAGGTAATGACCCACATCGGGGGGGGGGCAAAAATATAATAATAAATAATAATTATAATAATAATATAATAATAATATATCTATTTTTTTATTTTTATTATTACAACAATTAATAAAATTAATAGCAAATTAATAGGAAAAAAAAAAAAAATAATAACCATAAATAAATACAAAATCGAAAAATTAAATCAAGACTGAGAAATTATATGCATTATATATGTTGTGTTGTCCAAGTAAGAGAAACAATTGAGACCCTGCAATTGTGTGTAAATGAGGCAGAAAGACAGATCAGTAACCTGGGACTTGGTCACAATTTTCGTGATGTCATATGGCAGCAGGGTCTACCATTAGACAATACATTATGCTTCCAATATCTTCACAGGCGGTAGTACCTCCCTGTTTGGTAGCTGCCTATCTACCTACTACCTGTATATGATTATTCACTTAATAAATGGTTTTCAAAGAACCTAACCCATTCGAATAGTGAGGGATACCTGTATGTACAGTATAGTATTACTGACAGTACAGTACGCCCGGATAATTTGCAAATTTTTATTTCGCTGTCCTCTGTTATTCGCGGATGACACCCTGGATGTACCCATAAATGTCTGCGGGTAGTTTTTTAAGTTACCGGCATTTTCGCAGCTGGGACAGGGCACCATTCATTCTAGAGACAATAATTTCCTTTACCTGTATTGTATTGTACATATATATGTGTGTGTGTGTGTGTGTGTGGGCACACATACACACACAAAACACTTACAAATAAATAATAATGGGAAAATCATCTAACAAATAATCAGAAACAAATGTACTATTAAAAATGTTGAGTCTACCCCCATGTCTACTCCGTTCTTTATTAATAACAAAGCATGTAGTAGACTTGAGGGTAGACTCAAAATTTTTAATACAGTGATCCCTCGGTTAATGAACGCCTCGGTTAACGAAATTTCGGTTAACGAATTACCTTCCATAAGATTCTTCACTTCGGTTAACGAAAAAATTTCGGTTAACGAATTCCTTACGAATTTTTCCCAACATGTTTTCGCCTGCATTTGGCTGCTCACCAGCTGTAGTATTAGTCCGCCAATACAGTAATTGGTTTTAGGGCTTAAATTCCTAACCATTTTAGTAAATATCAAGAAGGTTGTGCTATTCAATAATTTTAAAAGTTTTATATTAAATTTGTTAGTCATTTTAACAATTATTGTAACATAATTGAAGTACAGGAAACTAGTTTTTTGCGCGCTAAACAGCCACTGAACACACCAAGCTTGGCGTCAGTTTGCTTATCGGTTCAGAGGAAGGAACATCCTGTTTGAGACTCTTCAACATAAACGCTTTTTTTCTGTGTTTCCAGTCAAATTATTGGTCATTTTGAAATATGTTTGTGTTGATTTAAAGAAAATAATCTTGAATTACACCAAGTGAACTAAAATTTTATGGGTGAAATGGCACCATGGGGTGACTTCTCTTCCACCCCAATGCCTTCTCTTCTCCCTTCTCTTCCACCTCCATTCTAATTCCCATCTTCATCATCATCCAGGAGTCTTCATCATACACACCTCAAAGTATGTGTACTTTTCTACCTTTTTTGTTGAATTTAGGCAATTTTCGGTGAGCTGGAACCAATTACCCAAAAACCCATTGAAACAATGGTTTCGGTTGACGTGTTTTTCGTTTAATGAGCAGCCTTCTAGAACGAATTGTGCTCGTTAACCAAGGGACCACTGTACTACATTTGTTTCTGATTATTTGTGAGAGGATTTTGTGTGTGTGTTTGTGTGTGTCTACACACACACACACACACACACACACACACACACACACACACACATACACACATAGATACAGTATATACAATACAGGTAAAAGAAATAATTGTCCGAAGGGCAAACACATAAGGGAATGTACATATCTTTGTACACAAGTAAAAATGTACCCCCACCTGGTCAGCAAATGTTATTCACGGATTTGGCGATTCGCAGCCATTTTCAGAACCTAACCCCTGCGAATTTGAAGGGCCGACTGTATCACCAGGTACTAATATTTTAAATTTTTTTATAGTTTGTCTACAAAAGTATTATTCATTTTAAAGTATTATTGTAATGGTATGACACTTACTGAATTTTGCTGCAAGTAATGAAAGAGAATTTATGGTACTTTCTATGTATGGAAATTTTTTTTATTGATTTTTATTCAAACACTTTCTGATGAAATTAATATACAGTAATTAATTTTTCACTTTCAGGAGAGATGACTGTGATTTCCCTCTGAAAATGTATACCGGAGCTGAGACCAGTAAAGAAACACAACACATTTCTCCACATATAGCAGCTCACAAGTCTTTTGCGGCACCTACAACCATTGCATCTACTCTGCCCCCTCTACCCCCTCTACCCTCTGTGGCAGTTCCTGGGTCAGGACCCCAGGACTTTGCACACCTGTCTACTACACATAAGAGTGGGTTGAGTGCTCACATCCCTACTTACAGAGTGGGCATACATGATGCACCTTTTCTGTTGTCTCGTCATGGCCACTCCAGCCACTCCCACTTCTCCAAAAATACCCCACAAGATTTATCTGCTCACTCTACAGCTGGAGCAGAAAAGGCAATTCCCATGGAGTTGACACCCCATACCTCATCTCACTACAAACCCTTGCCTCACATTCAAACAGTTGTGAGTCAAGGTGTGAACAATAGTCCAGTTGGGACACTCATGTCAGCATACCAGGCTGACAGATTATCCCCATATTACCGTGTTCCAGATTCACTCATAAACCTCCAGGGTCCGTCTGCTGTATTGGTCTCTTCTTTTGGGGGAGAAGTTGGAGTTTCAACACCCCACTCCATCTCTCAGACCACTTCCCTAGTACATGCACAGTCCACCATGTCGGCACAAAACTCCGCTACTAACCTGACGACCATGCCAGGTGTGTCTTTGGCAGCGTCTGTATCTTTACCAGGTGGTATGAGCCCAGCTGTTAATACAACAGTGTCACAGAGTTCCTTACTACCAACCGACTGTGTTGCGACTCCTACTGTGTCATCTGCTTGTGCAGTATCTCAGGCAGAGGTTAAGAAAAAGAGAAATGAGCATTTGGAACAATTGAAAATGTCTACTGGGCAGGGAGGTGATGGATCCCAACAGACAGTTGGGCCTCACAGAGACCTAGTGCGTCAAGCACTCCAGGCAGTTGTCACACATCCTCAACACAAAACTGGTAATGACCAAGAAGTAATTGAATACAACTACACTGCTGGTGATATTGCAGGTAATTTTAGCATACCAGCCATCTTATACCTCTGCATTAAAACCAGTACCAGCAGTGAGTTTGTGTGGCTCCCCAGTAATTGTTTTCCCTACATATCTAAACTTTGCCATAGATTGGTTTTGTATCAAGTGTGGTATTAGCAGTTATCATACCCCTTATTAAGATAGTTTTTCTCAGCACATAATCAACATCTGTCTTTTCATGTGATATGTAGTTTACAATTCTTAGGGCAGGAAAGCACATGAAAAATACTCCATAAATACGTAATATCGTTGTCGTTGATTCATAGTCTCACTCCAGTGTTGAATGTGTATTAACATTAGTTCTCTACTTGAAAGCTATTTAATTCTCTTCCAATTATAGTATAATGAATGAAGCAGTTTAGAAATAGAATATAAACAAAGGATAATGTGACTAAAGTATATAAAGGAAGAATAATCAGGAGGCAGGAGCAGAAAGACAAAAAGATTAAGCAAAAGGTTGATAGAGATTATTGGATAGGACTATAATGTGTATACCGACAAAGAGTAAGCATCATTGAGAAAATAGTAGTGCTCATTTATATTTTTGTGGGTTAAAAAATCACATTTTGTTCATCTCTGACTGACCATCCCTTTCTTCATTATCTTTAGCTCAGCTGGTCAAGAATCAGCACAAGCTATAATCATGGTCTTCCATCTGTGCATGCAGTTGTGTTTCTCATTTTCTCAGAAACTCCTGGGTATATTTATAGCCTGACATTGGCTCCAGGGAGACTCATGTATTCTATACCCCAAGTTGACTGGGTTATAACCCAGGTGAATTGGCATCATTTATGGCTGGCACAGTGCTAATTAAATAATATATGATCCTTTCCCATTGCAACCATTGCTGTAGAAGGGAGATCAAGAAAACAAAGGTTAATTTAATGAAGAAATAAGGGCAGACATATAGACATACACAACTTCTTCATTGTTACCATTGGCTGTCTTGGATTTGCAGCAACATTTATCAGTCCAGCCAACTCTCTGGTTGAAGACAGACATCAGCCTCACTGCTCCGTGGCTATAATCTGAGCTAAGTGCATTCATTACCTTTGTAAATTACAGCACTTAGGGGAGTATTATATTTATGCCACACAGTTCTATACATTAATTGTATCATAACAAATCTAGACATTTGTTTTGGGTTGAAAAAGTTGCTTCAGGGTTGTTAATAATCCAGTTGACTATTCATCTGATGGCAGTTTGAGATGTTGGGTGTACATCCACACTGTGTCAAAGGAAAGGCCCAATTTTATGGCATATGTTGCTATGGCTATCCTTGGAGGATAGATTTAAAAAAAAGATACTGTACTGAAGTTAAGGGTTGAAGTGCTCTTTTTTTAATGTTAGTTGGGATGTACAGTATAGTACGGTACCAATTTTCTTTGGAGTGACATGCATGGATATGGTATTCACTCTATGGTGATTGTTGCATACTTTTCTATGAGTCTCAGTGAAGTGTAGGAAAACCTTTTAGGGGATTCCTTGTTTGTTTGAATGGGTTTGGATATTTTTTAATAAGAACAACATTATCTTAATTGGTTTTTGGTAGACTTCAACTTGCTAAAAACTTGACTTTGTATATTAAATTAGATGGGCAAGTACTTTAACTATTAGTTTGAACTTGCACCATATGGCTGAGTTGTGCCCTTCAACAGGTGTGTAACCATATGTTCTATAACACTAAGGCCCTATGCCATGCTAGTACCATGAAGGTTAGGGTTAGTCTTGTCTGTATTCTATCCAACCATCAAACTTGTTTGTTTTCTTCTGGATAGGGGAAACTTTTAAAGGAACATTTCTCATGTAATATTAAACCTTATTAATTAATTCAGCGTAATATACCTCGATACTTTCACAACGTAAGGAAATCTTCACCAATATCAAACGGCAATTAAAGATTTTTTTGGATTCCTTGGCCCAGTGTGCAGTTGGCTGACAAGTAATGATTTTAATTGGCCATATTAAAACTGGTATATGTTTTTTCTTTTGGGATATTTGCCTGATTAATAATCCTTCCCTTTGAGGCCAGCTGCCAATATTGTTAGGCAGTTTATGATAAATTGTACAATTCGTAGACTTAAGACATTAGCTGTTGAAATGCATCAGCTGTGTAGATACAGCTCTTGCTTCCCACCACTGAGTGGGGCACTCCCAATTGACCCAGCTGCAGAATAGTTGCCTAACAATATAGTTAGGATGTGATTTGTTTTTTAGTATTTGCTTGATGTTCAGATATGTGGCCTAGGGTTTATTGTCCTTGTGACCATTTTAAATCCACGGTTTTATTGTTGACATGAATTTTGATGAATGAGTACAGTGGTCCCTCGGTTAACGAGCACAATCCGTTCTAGAAGGTTGCTCGTTAACCGAAAAACTCGTTAACCGAAACCATTGTTTCAAAGGGTTTTTGGATAATTGGTTCCAGCTCACCGAAAATTGCCTAAATTCAACAAAAAAGGTAGAAAAGTACACTTACTTTGAGGTGTGTATGTAGAAGGCTCCTGGATGATGATGATGATGATGGGAATTAGAATGGGGGTGGAGGAGAAGGGAGAAGAGAAGGCATTGGGGTAGAAGAGAAGTCACCCCATGGTGCCATTTCACCCATAAAATTTTAGTTCTCTTGGTGTAATTCAAGATTATTTTCTTTAAATCAACACTGCACTGCATTATATATTGTCAATATGTAAAATAAATTTCAAAATGACCAATAATTTGCTTGCAAACACAGAAAAAAAGCGTTTAGTTGAAGAGAGTCTCAAGCAAGACTGACGCCTGTATGCTGTGTTGGCAGGTTGGATGGCGTGCCACAAACTATGTTAAAAAATTGTTAAAATTACTAAAAAATTTAATATTAAACTTTTAAAATGATTGAATAGTATAAACTTCTTGATATTTACTAAAAGGGTAAGGAATTTAAGCCCTAGAACCGATTACTGTATTGGCGGACTAATACTACAGCTGGTGGACCTCCAAATGCAAGCTAAAACATGTGGAGGTTGGCTCGTAAGAAACTCGTTAATCGAGGAGTTGCTCGTTAACCGAAGTTAAAAATCTTATGGAAGGTAACTCGTTAACCGAAATCTCATTAACCGAGGCGCTCGTTAACCGAGGGACCACTGTAGATAATTTGTCTACATCAAGGCCTCACTTGGGAACTTTACCCCAAATAATATGTAGTCTGTTAATATTTGCTGAACATTTACTTTGTGGAGAAAAATTTCCATAGCTAATCAATATTATAATGAGAAATTAAGTGGGGAAGGGTCTTTCAGAAGTGTTGGATGCTCCATGCTTCTGACATTTCTACATTGGTGGAGAATGATAAAATCAGCATACTTCAATATTCATCAAACCTGCACTCAATCATTATCATTACAGCATTTAGTAATCACATCATAATTATGTGATTGTACATAGGTTCAGTGTTGTTTTATTTGCTAAGCATTAAAGACTCCAGAAGCTTCTACCAGTATTGAACTGGGTTACAAAAGGTCTTATGTGATAATTTACTTATATAGTTTTAACCCCAGCTACATATTTAGGTATACTACTGTACTCTAGGATCCAGTTGTATATATGTATTCAATTCTTAGATAAAAATCATAGTTATTGTTTGGACAGAGATCTAATTGGGGATTGTCAAAATGTGGTATGGACACATTGAGAATATTGAAAGTGAAATACTGTACCTATAGGTAAAAAGTGTCTTTTACGGTATATTAGAGGTAGAGGGGAAGACGAAGATGGACGTACGTACAGTATTGCTTAAATTGAGGAGGATGGATGTCTAGGAAACAAAAGGTTGTGTGATTGATGGAAGTGCATAATGAGTGAATTGGTTTAAGGTGAGTGAAGAGAGAGAGAGCAAGTTTTTGCTCTGATGCCGACTACTCTCAGCATAGTGGAAAAAGGATGTTAAGAATTAAAAAAAATAATAATAGATTATAATTCAGAAGTAAAAATAGATTTCAGAATCAATTAAGTAATCATGATGGTTCAGTGTTACCAGTTATTGATGAGTTGCATTGAATCTTCTCCATGGTACATAATTAATGAAAAAGTGACATGTAGTTTCCTGCATAAATCTTTATTAGGAGATATACTGGAGTTGATGAGAACGTTTAATGATTTGTGGGCGTTTGGAGTATCTAAGGCACGTTTCTTGGTACATGATCCTTCCTATCACCCTTTGTGCTGTATTGGCAGTCTTAGGTCTTGTCTTAAATCCCAAACCACCCTTAAAGAATGGACTGAGTTTAAAAAAATATCCCAATTTATACTTGGGGAGGGATGAAGACTTGACCTGGACCTTCCCACCTCCCTTATAAGAACCTTTGCCAGGAGCAAAGAATGAATTGACTGCATCAACTTCAGTTAAATTTATTCAACCTGCATTGGTTCAGTTGACTGATACTATCATCATTACACACACACACACACACACACACACACACACACACACACACACACACAAAAAGTTTCATGGTAACATGGGCATCATGCATTGGAGTGAATGACAGTCTCATGGGTCACATCATTATCCCTCCCAAGGCATAAAATGAGAGTTCACGATCGTAGTTCATTCTTTTAGTTTAGATTTTATATTCAATATTGCCACTACAACAGCCAGCTTGGATATTTTGAGTGCTGAGATTAAAGTTCTGATATACTTTTCTTGTCATGCTACAACTCGAAGATATTTCATTGAGTTATACTGAAATTATGTTTTTGCACTTGCTTAGATGCTGTGAACATCTTATTACATAATGAGAGAGATTAGTGTTCTCTGATTATGTATTCTAGCTCCTAATTTGAAAACTATCTGAATGCTATGGAAGCCTAATTAAGTCATAAATTTCCCCCAAATTTGGTACAGTATTTGCATTCAGTTGGATGTATCAAGTAGTTCATATATACCAATTAGGCATTCCGACTCCTGATAAGCTAGATTTTTAACTCTGTAAAGCAGGC